TCTGTAGAATTGTGTTGTACTGCTGCTGCGAGTCCCAGTATCTGAAGCCCAGTTTGATAATTAGGACTGTCTTCGGTCCGTCCTGCGAAATTGACAGGTTCACTCTGTTCACCACTTGCCCCCCAAATTTCGTCAGGATCGACGCGGATGCTGCTGTCAGCTACAGCTGGCATGGGACGTCGTTGATCGTCCACCAGGTAAGTATGATGAACTTCACGAACATCGTCCGGATGAGCGTCGACGAGAGGAATGAATTCCGGAAATCCGGAAGATGTGGTTGGAATAGGTGGATCAGAAGCAGCTTCACGTGCACCGTCAAGGTCAGGTTCTTCGCTGGCAGCAAGTTCGGCATCAGCGCTGGCGAATGAACGAACACCGTGGAAAAGTGTAGCAGGGTCACGCTGCGTGGCGAGATACTGTTCGAAGACTGGAAGGGTCAGATTTTTGTAGAAAATACAGTCGCGGGCAGGAATTAAAAGACGACTGCGATAATCCATGATATGGTAGGCAGAAAACTGCTTCTCAAGGCCGAGATGAAGACCCCACTTAGCGCATTGATCGAACTTTCCGAGCGGAGCAGTGGGAGGACGATATTGCACGATACACCCAAAAACTCGAAGAAGTTTCGTAGTGCCCAATTTTCCTGTCCACAACAAGTGAGGTGATGCGTTGTTGGGTAGAGCCGATGAAGACAGGAGGTTATGCAACAGTGTTGCGTGGTCCATTGCGAAGGGCCAGTAGAGTGGGCCGAGTTGAGATTGTGCGAGTAGTGCTCGCATCTTTTCTTGCAGGGTACGATTGAGGCGTTCAGCTACACCGCTCTATTGGTGAGCGTGAGGAAGTGAGAACAGGCGCCTGATGCCTCTTTCTTGCAGGTACGCTGTAAACTCGAGACTGCGATATTCCCCAGCTCCGTCACATTGGAAGGTTTTGATTTTGGTGTCGGACTCGCGTTCTGCGAGAGGCAGCCATGTTCGAAACGCTGTGAAGGCAAGAAAATGGTTAGTCATGTTACCAGTCCAGACGTATCGAGTAGAAGCTTCAGTGAACGTGATGACGTATTTCTCGCCATTGAAACCCTCCACAGGTAAGTTTAGAATATCACTGTAAAATTTTTCCATCAATCGATAATCCTCAGCGCCAGGAAAATGAGTCGGATACGGTTCGTGCGGTAGATTTGCTGCTGGGCAGATCAAGCAAGGTGACGGACGATTGACCGGTTTCATTTCGAGGCCGCCAGGTAAGAGAAGAGATTTCTTGTCGAGAACAGCTGCTTTGATTGTGTTGTTGAGCGTAGACTGCGACGGATGACCAAGACGCTTATGCCATGTGTCTGCAGTTGTTTTGTGTCCCTGTGCGCGCAGATAATAATCGGCGTTAGCGAAGAAAGATAACAGCAGCCGATGACCGTCAGCGTGAACATGATCTGCGACAGGCGGGACGAACCTGGTAAGGTTAGGTGGTGGAATTTTGATTTCAACGTCGATGTATTCGCCAGGTGAAAAAAACTAACTCCCCGCTCTCTTGATCTGATGCTGCAGGTTTAGGCTCAACGCCGACGAGTCGTCCGGAGTCGAGGACTTCCATGTCAGCGACACGCTGCTCTGCTTCAGTGAGAAGACGTTGATCACGATCAGCAAGTGTTTCTCCCCAAGTGGTCTCGTCAGGTTCCTGTGCCCCCCAAGTGCCTTCATCCGTGGGCATATTCGGCGTATCTCCCCAACCACCAACGTGAGCAAGATAATCTCGGGAGTTATGGACGTCATTCAAGCCTTGATTGTCGAAGGTCAGCATGACAGCGACAGCCGTGGTTGAAGACGTGGGTACAAATCCTTCACGAGGAATGGTATCATCGGTGTAATCGATGTCATCACGATGTGCCCATGGGCCGAGAGAGAGAATATTGTCGGAGTCGGCAGTGGTGCGTTCAGGTACGAAGTTGAGAACGAATACACCGTTCTGTTCGATTGCCGTGCCGAGTTTCCTGTCTCCATATTTCAAAGTAGAATTTCCCGGTTCGCCAAGAAGAGTAATTCCATTCCTCATGAGCTGTGCAGATGACATCAGATTGAAGCCAAGTCGAGGAACGAGGAGTACATCGTTAAGATGAAGACTGAAGTCTTCTTCAACAGAATCAAGAATGATGTTGCCCATCCAGTGTGCTGTAAGACGTTGATTGTTGGCGACGGTTACAACGCATGGATTCTGAAGACGACGCTGATTGATGACGAAGCGGTTTTCTGATGAACACATATGCTGGCCGCAACAACTGTCGAGATACCAAGTGTTGGGACCTTCCAAGGTATGTGCAAGGTTGGCGTAGACCTCGGGTGGTATGGGCGTATTGAGTTCATCATTGAAGTTATTATGAATACGTTCTTCAGCGTCAGGATCGTAGACGGTAGAAACTGTCGTCATGCAATTAATAACCTCTTTTGCTTGTGTCTTAGCAGGTGTAGTAGGCGGCTTCGCAGAGTTCGGCTTCGCAGTATTCTGCTTCACAGCTTCCGGCTTCTCAGCTTCCAGCTTCTCAGCTTCACCTGAAGAATCTTTGGTATATTTCGATGCAGACCGCTTCCAAGATGGTTTATCCTTCGACCAGCAGGTATCAATAGTGTGTCCTGCTTTGCGACAAAAGGAACAAACGGGCTTGTGACGTGGATTAGAATAAAAAGCTGACTGTGTTGTTTACCACCTTTTTCCCTCCTCGAGCGTTGTGCAGGTCCATATCCTGCTGCTCGGCAATGAGAGCGGCACAGAGTGCCCCCTCGGACAACTGTGCTTGCATCCGGAGAATAGAGCGACACTGTCGCCATTCTGGTCCAAGACCCGCGAGTAGCACCGTGTGAAACATTGCGTCGGGGAAGTTTCCTCCACACTTCTGAAGTTGGTCGCGCAGATTTCGAGCGCGGTTGATATACTGCGTCACCTTCTCGCCGTTTATCATCTGTATATTTGACAGCTGCGTTAAAATTTTACTCTGGTTGACAGTGTCCTTTGCCATGTGAACCCCTTGCAGATATAACCAAGCTGCTTCAGCGGGAGCGGCACTGGTACGAAAAGGACGAATACCAAGCTGTTCAGTCGGTGTCATATTGCGAACGAGAACTGTGTATGCAGTCAGCGACGCTGATCGAAAAGTGGCCTATTGAAGTGGTGACCCGTGTGATGGAAAGGGTGCTGTGCCGTCGAACAACTGCCAGAATCCCGCGGTCTGAACAAGAAGCTCGAATTAAAAACTCCAGGTATAGAAGTCTTGACCGTTAAAGGGCATTGTCGTTTTAATTTTTGTTGGGTTTGCTGAAGCGGGAAGATAGTTTCCAGTGCCGTCAGCTGATTGTAACTGATAAAGTGATGGCATCTGTGACCCTTGTGGTGCTTGTTGTCCTTGTCCAGCAGGAACGAAAGAGAAGGAGTTATTCGACCCGTCGCTTCCTTGTGGCATCTGAGCATGCTGATAACTGGAGCCATCAAGGCTCATAGGAGTTGGAAACATTTGGTTAAGTGACAAGACGGCAGCATTGACACGTTGTTGAAGATTTGTTGGCTGGTAAGCACCTTGATATTGATAAGGTCCAGTCGGTACGAAACTGGACTGTTGTCCTGGTTGACTAGAAGAACCAGTGACTGCAGCTGCAGCTGTTGTGGCTGCTGATGCTGCTGTTGCTGCGGCTGCTGTCGATGATGCCGCTGCTGCAGTTGTGTGTACGGGTTGACTGCTCAGTGGCATGCCGTACATCGGTTGTTGCTGATATTGTTGTTGTTGATGTTGTTGCTGCAGATAAGAATTGTCAGCAGCTGGAGACGCTGTTGGGCGTGATGGGCTCGTAACAGAAGAGCCGTTGTTGGATCGTGGAGAGCCAGGCATAGTTGCAGAGTATGTAGTTGGAAGCTTGTAGTATCCTAAGACGCTAGCAATACCATGTTATTATTTGAAATGGTTGAGTAGGATCGTAATACTTAGGATGATAGCTTCCTGTCGTAGCGGAAGTCTTGTATGAATTAAAACCAGTTAATGAGGCTTTGTCTGGACTAGTGAAAGCCCATGTAGTGATATGTTTCAGGATCAATGACCCTGAAATCAGATATATTTTAAAATGACAAACATACAAAATATATAGCTCGAGTAAAGTACCTGTTCGCCTACTGTACTGTGCTATTCCTGTTCTGAAACGGTACGTGACTTTTCGCGAGGCCTATAGCTACGTGCTTACGTCATCCTTGGGCGCGTAGCGCTTTGCTGATGTCAGCCTATCGGTACTCTACTGTTTCGTGCGAAGTCTCGCACTGTACTACACGAATCCTTGAAGTGCTTAAGTCTTCATATGATCTCAACAGCTTCAACATTCCAACCGTCAAACCGAATGGCACCTGTAACGCTGAATGAACCACGTCGGAAGCATAAAGATAACGTAGAATCGCATGTAGGTCGATTCAATTGTGAAGGGTTCGGTCGCTCTACATGCGGTGCGAGCTTGGTCGAAAGGATTGTGGGAGGCGAGCGATCGACCTTGTCGCACAATTTTGCCGAACCCTTGTGACTAGGTAAAAAGCCGAAGCGCAGTCTCAGGGGTTCAATAATGTCCAGATTGTGTACTGACAACTTCTTGAACTGTGCCTCGGCGATAATAAATAACTACATTCAGAGCGCAAATATGAACATAAGAAGGCTTCATCAATTGGTGGCGCTACATGGCAGCATGTTTTCATATCAATTAATCAAGTCCAGTTCAAAATACCATTATTCTTCTTTTGAATTTCCGTCACCTGTCCGCTCTTCATGCTCTAGCTCATGTTGACCCAATCCCTCCGTTCTTGCATCATACGCTGCTTCACTAGCAACTGTTCCTCTACCCTCACCACCACCACTCAACCCAGTAGCGGCACCACCAGCTGACATCCCCATAACAATTATGTTCCCTTTCTCATTCCCGTTCCTATTCTCATCCTCCACAGCTGTTACTGCTGCTGGAATTCCAACCCTCACATCACTCCGCGCATCACCTCGACTTGCACCTGGCACCAGCGACGTCGACGTTTTGCGCGTCCCAGCCTCGGCAGCATCCCATGCGGTGGGGGGTGCCACGGTCACTGCAGGAAGATAATTGGTTCGTCTACGTTCTCTTGTGCTTTCAGCAGCACCCCTGGTAACATCAGCAGCACCCCTGGTAACATCAGCAGCACCCCTGGTAACATCAGCAGCACCCCTGGTAACATCAGCAGCACCCCTGGTAACATCAACAGCACCCGTGGTAACATCAGCAGCACCCCTGGTAACATCAGCAGCACCTCTGGTAGCATCAGCAGCACTCTCGGTCGCGTTCGCACCAACCAGTGCAGGGTGTGCCACGGCCATTGCAGCCTGAGAATCGGCTCTTCTCGCCTTTCTCATGTTCGCACTTCTGGTTGCATCAGTAACACCTCTGGTCGCATCAGCAGCACCCTTGCTGGCATCAGCACCCGCCGAAGCATTCGCACCGGCAGCACTATTTGCACGGGTGATAACGTTTGCACAAGCAGTCGAATTCAAACCGGAGTAGACATTTGCACCAGCTGTAGCATTAGTGGCATTGAGAATATCCGCAACGAGAAACTCACCCATCATAAAATTTCCTCCCAGCATCATGTCACCCTCACCACTACCATCACCCTTTTCCCCATCACCCTTTCCCCCATACCCCCCATCACCCTCTCCCATGGCCTCATCCCCTGCCAACCCACTCACCTCCATGCTCACCCCACCTTCCAACTTCCCTGCTTTCTCACTCTCCTCCCCTCCCTTTCTTCCCTTCACTCCCCCTCCTCTCCCACCTCCCTCTCCTCCCCCTCCTCTCATCACTCCCCCGCCTCCTCTCCCTTGCAACAGCCGGGGCACGAGAGCCACTAGCTGCCTGACACGTGTCGTCACCTCAGCCACACGTTTCCTGAGCCGCTTCCTCTCCTTGTGAACCGCCTGTGCCGATATGACCGCCCATGCCACCTGCATGCGCTGCCGCAGCCACACTCCCATGGGCTGCCGAGGACAGGAGGGGTAGGGAGAGAGAGGGGCGGGGGGAGGAGAGAAGGTGGGGGGAAGAGCAAGGGAAGGGGATGGGGAAAAGGAAGCGGAAGGGGCGGGGAGGGGTGGGGGAGAAGATGGAAAGGGGGGTGGGAATGGTGGTATGTAACAATCCGAGTTTTTTTTTGGATTTGAAAATTTCACGATGTTTATAATAATATCACGGCATTGTTCTCTTTGACACCAGCCATCATGCTAACAACTCGTCTCTCCCAGTTCATCCCTCACCTTTGCTGACTCATCCCTCACCTGGGCTGAATTATTTCTCACCTGTGCTGACTCATCCTTCACGAGCCCATCCCCATACTCGTCCATCATCGTAACGTCCATCGTATAAACCGGGGTATTGTCCGAAATCACCCCGGCGCGGTCCCCCCAGTAGTGATTCAGCCTCATCTTCTCCATATCGACCAATGGCGGCGGCCCATTCTCCATGACAGCCCACTCGTGCGGGTTGATACAGTCGTCCATGAGGTGAGCGGCGAGGGGCAGCCATGCAATGGGTTTAGTGCGGTGGCGCCCAGAGGAGTCGGGCATTCGCAGGGTGTAGCGCTCTAGCAGCGTGTCGGTGTCTGAACCTATTGGATCCCCGAGGAAAAACATGTTCTGAATCAGGACCTGAGGGGGTATGAGGGGAGGGAGAGGGGAGGTGGTGTTGGAGGAGAAGAGAGAACGCACTTGAGCCTCCACACTCGTGTGCCTAATAATGAGAGAAGCCCGTTCTCCATGACAGGCCACTCGTGGGGGTTGATACAGTCGTCCACGAGGTGGATTGCGTGGGGCAGCCATGCAATGGGTTTAGTGCGGTGGCGCCCAGAGGAGTCGGGCATGCGGAGGGTGTGGTGCTCTAGTAGAGTGTCCGTGTCGGGGCCTATTGAGTCTCTGAGGAAAAACATGTTCTGAATCAGGACCTGTATGGATGGGAGGTGGGGAGGGGGGAGGGAGAGGAGGAGAGTGGAGAGTAGTGTGGCACTTGAAGGGTGTTGTCAGTGATGTGGACTGTAAGGCCACTCGTGGGGGTTGAGACAGTCGTCCATGAGGTGAACGGCAAGCGGCAGCCATGCAATGGGTTTGGTGCGGTGACGCCCAGAGGAGTCGGGCATGCGGAGGGTGTAGCGCTCTAGTAGAGTGTCTGTGTCGGAGCCTATTGGTTGGATCCCCGAGGAAAAAGATGTTCTGAATCAGGACCTGTATGGATGGATGGGAACACAAAAGGAAGCGGCCAAAGGTTAGGCGAGGGGGGATTGGACGAATTGGGAGGAGTTGGGCGGAGTTGGGAGGAGTTGGGCATGCGCAGCGTGTGGCGCTCTAGCAGCGTGATTGTGTCGGGACCGATGGGGTCTGTGTCAGTGGCGCTGGGTGGAGTTGGGCATGCAAAGGTGCAGTGCTTGAGAAGCGTGCTGGTGTTGAGACTGATGGGGTGCATGTGTGCATGCGCGAGTGTGTGTGTGTGTGTGTGTGTGTGTGTGTGTGTGTGTGTGTGTGTGTGTGTGTGTGTGTGCGGGCATGCATGCTCGTGTGTGCACAGATGTGAACGTCTTCACATACCCACCCATGTGGCCAAGTAAATTCTGCATCTTGTAATGCTGCAGCAAAAAAACAAACGAAGCCACCCACCTGTACTGTCGTATTTGGCAACGTCTGCAGGTAGTGACGAAGAAAGCCGGGCGGCGTGCCGCACGGGGTAAAGAAATACTCGTCGATATCGGTGTGGAAAGCCCAGTGCACCTCCGATGCATAGTGCTGGGAGGATGGGGCGGAGGAAGTGAGAGGGATAGGAGGCGGAAGGAGTGACACTTAGTACATATGTATATATATAGATATATTATATATATGCTTTGATTTTTGCGATGAAAGATACACCATAAGTGCGCACTACTTCAACAGTCGTAACTGTGAGCGACAAAATCATTGATAATGTGGGAAGAGCACTTAATGCCAGCCAGCCATGGAAAGCATTTCAAGGAACACCACGAAAAAGGTACAAGGTGGTCTCCTTGCTTAACCCCTCCCCTCTCCCCACCTTCACCCAGTGGTTGTAAGCAGCCCCCTGCTTGCACCGAAACATCCTCTCCAGGTACGCTGTGAAGTTGCCCTCCACGAATGGCATCTCGCGCACGCGGTGGTATACCACCAGGCCGGCATCGATGTAAGGGGCCAGCACCACGTCCTGTGATGGTGGTGGTTGTGGTGGTGGTGGTGGTGATGGTGGTGGTGGTGGTGGTGGTGGTGGTGGTGGTGGTGGTGGTGGTGGTGGTGGTGGTGGTGGTGGTGGTGGTGGTGGTGGTGGTGGTGGTGGTGGTGGTGGTGGTGGTGGTGGTGGTGGTGGTGGTGGTGGTGGTGGTGGTGGTGGTGGTGATGGTGGTGGAGGTGGTGGTGGTGGTGGTGTGGGGGGGGGGGGGGGAGGGAGAGGGGGAGGGGAGGGAGGCTTGGAGGGACAGCAGCCCTCAGTAGCTCCCCCATGCGGTGGTATACCACCAGTCTGGCGTCAATGTAGGGAGCAAGCACCACGTCCTGTGATGGTGGTAGTGGGGGGAGGAGGAGGTGGGTGGGAAAAGGGGGAGGAGGGAGGTACAGCAGGTATGGGACTGACATGCTTTGCGCTGTCTCCTGGAAAAAGAGCTGCCTCCTTACTTGGTGGTAAACCGTAGAACCACCTCAAACCGTCTTCTGTAGCTCTTCTATGTGGTGCTATATATGGTATACCATGCACCGCACCCCACCCCACACCACCACCCTCGCACCCACCCCACCACCTTCCCTTCTCCCATTTTTGAGGAGCCTAAAAAATAGTACTTTGTAGCTTTTTCATGCGAGAGTATATGGTAGACTATGCACACACCCCATCCCACAATCCTCCCCGCTCCCACCCCATGCATTGAGGTGGTTTTTGAGGCGCCGTACTGGTATACCACACACGCATGCACTCACCCCCTCCCCCCTCCCTTTTGAGAATTCTCAAAAGTCACCCCATGCATTGAGGTGGTTTTTGAGGCACCGCACTTTTGAGGCACCTCAAAAGTCGCATTGAGGTGGTTTTTGAGGCGCCGTACTGGTATACCACACACGCATGCACTCACCCCCTCCCCCCTCCCCCCTCCCCCCCACCCCTCCTTCCCTCCCCCTTTCCCACACACACACCTGGTCCTCGTCTGTGCTCCTTGCCTTGCCGTACCAGTAAAAGCGAGTCACTCCTGCATAGCGATGGTACTCCAACCACTGCACCAATGCACCACCCCACCACCACCCCACACACCACACTCACCTGGTATGCATTGGTGCTCCTGGCCTCGTCATACCAATAGAACCAAATCACTCCTGTGGTTGAAGTGCCGATCGCTAAAACAGCAACACCATGACGACTCAACACACACCCACACACCCACACACCCACACACCCACACGCACCTGGTCCTCTTCAGCGCTCCTGGCCTCGTCATACCAGTAGAAGCGAGTCACTCCTGCATAGCGATGATACTCCAACCACTGCATGCATGAGAGAAGAGAAAACAAAGACAGAAACATACACATAAACAGAAAGAAACACAGATAGACACATGGAAAGATGAAAAATCAGACAACGGAACTGATTCAGAAACCGAAACAAAACCGGAAAGAAGCATGTGAACAAACAGCACTTTGTTTCCCACCATTGCTGCCATTCGTTTCAATGGTGGTGGATGAGTGGGTGCCATCCCCTCCACTCACCCACCTGGCACACCCACCCCTCCCTTCACCTGGCACAAATTACCATCGAGCACCATGCCTGCTATCACCAGCGGCCCTGCTACTGCGACCCACCTTGTCGCTATCACCTTGCACTGTTGAGCGTGATGCTGATGGCTGTATAAGCCACTGCCGAACCATTCCCCCACCCCTCCCGTCTCACCTGCCACACGTGCAGCGCCCAGAAGCGAGTGTAGTCGCCATCAAACATGCGGTTATACACCATGCCCGCTATCACCAGCAGCACCATAAGTTACAACCTGAGCAATCCCCCCCCACCTCACCTGCCCCCACCTCACCTGCCACACGTGCAGCGCCCAGAAGCGAGTGTAGTCGCCATCAAACATGCGGTTATACACCATGCCCGCTATCACCAGCGGCCCTGCCACTGCTTCCCGCACATACTGCTTGGGGGCCTCTGAAGCCTTGGGGGCTGCAGCTGCCGGGGATCCGTCTAGCTCAGCTGCTGCTGCTGCTGCTGCTGCTGCTGCTGCTGCTGCTGCTGCTGCTGTTGGTGGTGGTGTTTCAACGGAGCCGGGTGGGAGGTGCAGGAATGCTGCAGTCGTGTTGAAGGCGTGAGGGTGGAGGCTGGGAGGACGGGGGGGTGGGGGAAGGGGATGGGGGGATGGAAAGGAAAGAGAGCAGCAAAAAGAGGGTGACTTGGAGTGTCACTGGCAGTTTCAACGGAGGCGGGCGGGAGATGTAGGAATTCTTTTGCACTCGCGTTGAGATGTAGGAATGCTGTTGCACTCGCGTCGAGGTGACTTTTTGAGTCGACTCAAAAGCCGGGCGGGCGGGAGATGTAGGAATGCTGTTGCACTCGCGCTAAATGCGCGAGTCTGCATGCATGAAGTAAAAGCCAATCCTCACCTGCTCTCAGTGTGCAACACCGTCTCAATGCTCTCCCCCAACGCTCTCAGCGGCGTCAGTCAGCTTCAGCATCCGAAGGGCTTCCATCACCTCCTGCCTGAGTGCTAGACTCTAGCACCCTCGGCGTGCCACAACACAACAAACAGCCCTCCCACCTGGTGACTTTTGAGTCAACTCAAAAGTCTCCTGCCTGAGTGCTAGGCTCTAGCACCCTCGGCGTGCCACAACACTACAAACAGCCCTCCCACCGGCCTGCACCTCTCACCTGCTTTCAGTGAGCAGCACAGTCTCAACATTCTCCTCCAACGCTCTTAGGTTCAGCTTCAGCATCTGAAGCGCCTCCATCACATCATGCTGCATGCCCCTGCCACCACCACCACCAGTCCCTCCTCCTCTTCCTCTTCCTGCTGCTGCTGCTGCTCCTGGCCTTCCTTTCCCCGCTTTCAGTAAAGTCACACCCTTCATTATTTCAACTGCAGCACTGCTGTTCGTCTGCAATCCGCCTTTGGTCACATCCGTTATAGTCACCTCAGAGCCCTTTGCGCTATTAGCCCCCCTCAAACCAGCCCCTTCCTCTCCTCTCGAACTCACCCTCATCAACCCCCCCACATCCCCCTCCTCCTCTTCCCCTTCCCTTTCCCACGCCTTCACCCGCTCCTCCTCCTTTCGCTCCTTCATCTCTGTCCACTTGGCCTCCATCTCTTTCTCCCTCTTCGCAACATCCCACTCCCTCTTCTCAACGGCCCCTATTCGCTTTATCACCTCCTCCTCCCACGATTGCACCTCTGCCTTCTGTTGCTGCAACGCCTTCGCCTGTGCTTCCAATGTCCCCATCACCCCTCCCCTTTCCCCCTTTCCCTGCTCCGGTTCTGACCCATTTCTCTTACCCTCTCCTCCTCCTTCCCCATATATCCTTCCCCATCCCTGCCCCTGCTGTTTCTCATTCTCCTGTCTCTCCTCCCCCTGCCGTTGCTGCCCTTCTTTTCCTTCCTCCCTTCCATCAACCCCATTTTCCCCTCTCTCTCCCCCATCCTCCACCCCTTTGTCCCCAGCCACACCTTGCCTTTGCCCCATGTCCCCATCCTCCTCAACACGCACTGCTTCTCTGTCTGCCGGCCCCCCCTCCTCCTTGCGCCCAACCCTGCTTCCTCCCACCAGTTGCTGCCCTGAATTGCCACGTGGCGTGGTCTGATTGGTGCAATAGAGGCGTGAATATGGGAAGACACAGGATGAGAAGGGAAGGGAAGGGAAGGGAAGGGAAGGGAAGGGAAGGGAAAGGAAGGGAAGGGAAGGGAGAGGATAAGGACAAAAGGAGAGGCGAGAAGGTGCGGCGCTAGGGAGCAGCAAAATGAGAACGAACCGGGAAGAAAAGTTGGAAAGGGGAAAGCAATAGGGAGAAGCATGGCGGTTAGGGGGAGAAGAAAAGGGGATGGAGATGCGGGCAGGGAGAGGAGAGAGGAAAGGGAGAAGGCGGGGAAGAGGGAGGGCAAAGGGAGGACGCGGAACGGAGGGAGAGGCGAAAGAAAGGAGGGCGAGAAGGAAGAGCTACAACCTGCTGCAGAATGCGAGGAGAGGAGAGGGTAGAGCGGGGGAAAGAGAGTAATACAACGATACAACCTGCTGTAGCTTGCAAGGTAATAAGGGGGTAGAGCAGAAGAAAGAGAAAGAGGCTACTCCAACCTGCTGTAGCTTGCGAGGAGTGGAGCGGGTAGAGCCAGAGGCAGAGGAAGGAGAGAGCAGGCGGTGGGTGGCAGAGTACAGGTACAGCGTCCACGTCAGCAGGCCCAGAGCCACGACAAACACCGCCGCCCAGGATGACGTCACTGCCGCCCAGCCCTTGCGCCTGGAGGACCGGCGGCGGGAGGGCTTCTTGGAAGGTGCTGCTGGTGGAAGGTTGGGGAGGGATTGATCTAGATGTTGAAAAGGGGCAAATTGAGGGTAAAAAACGCTGGCCTGCGGTGATTTTAGCCCTTTACAGCCATTGACCACAGGGAGTTGGGCAAGTTAGGGGTTAACCAGGGTGACTATTGTGTCGAATCTAAAGTCACAAACTTTGCAGAGCAATCAGTTAAGGCAACTCGCCTGTCGTTCTTGTAGCTTCCGTCATTCTGAACGTGTTTATATGTTCCAGTTCGCCTGGAGATTTCCAGCTACGTGTCACGCTGCCATTTGTTGCGAAGAGAAGATCGCTGCCATGGGTTTCTTCGTATGACGTAAGATGTTACGTCAGTAATCGTTGACATAGGCTGCTACGATGTGTAATCGCGTCAGTTGACATCCATTGCTTGACCGAATAGCAATTGTAGGAACTGAGGGGTGTAAATTCAGGGCGTATTCTTGGCAAGTCGTAGAGACTCAAGTGTTGTCCGCGCTTCACGGACGACAGCTGATGGTTCTTTTGTCCGCGATTCGCGAACCAAAGCAGCAAAGCAAGATGTCGCATAATTTTGGTTATGAATCCGAGAGCTGGGATTGGATTTCATATTGATTTGAACACGAGTTCCGTGGTGCCGGCCTTAGAAAAGAATCCAGCCACTCTGCACCGTTCGTTCTCGGCGCAAACCCCTTTCATAGAATGGGTGTTGGAACCTTGGTGCAATCCCATTCCTCTAAATAAGCATTGAATTCACACACCACGCATTACTACACGCAATTTGCAAGGTTCTGGCTTTGATAATCAGTTTCCGCAGTTACTCCACAGAATCAGTATCACAAACGCGTGAGCTAATATCGCGATAACTTTCCCTTGAAATCTCCGTGGTTTTTCTGGTGGGGTAGGGGGAAAGTCTGCTCAAGGCCTCTGGTTCACTCAGCATAATTCACTCTGCTAGGATTCACCCTGCTAGAATTACCTGCGTGTCTTGCGGACTCGCGTAAGATCGCCATCTCGCCTTTCCTTTCCACCCTCATGGGAATACGAGACTCCTCTATCCTTCTGATACCGTCCCAATTGCAGGTCGCATCCCCGTTGCAGTTCGTTCACCGTCCCTTGTCAGAGCAAGGTTCAAATATTCGAGCCTTTCTCACTGCAAATCCGGGTTCGAGCGGGTGAAATCTATGCGTCCACCCGATTCTCAAGCTCATGGAATGTCTTCACTCTGGGTGGATTTTCTTTCAAACATAAGAGTTTTTCGAGCTCCTTATGCTCTTTAGAATAGCGGTTTCAAGCCTCACCCTGGTGTGATAATTAGCGCCTAAAATGGTAACAACGGCCATGCCACCGCGTCGCGTCAAGATCAAGGGCCTCCCCGCGTCGCGCCCCTCCGCCATAAGTCCGCTCCCTCGCTCCGCCTCTCTCACCGCCACATCCGCGCCTGTCGTCTCCGCGTTTCTCGGCGCGCTCGGTCGCTACCGTCGCCTGCTGCTCGTACTTCTGCTGCTCGCGCTCTCCAACATCGCAGGTGAGTCTCGATTCAGTCGTTACCTCCCTCAGTCGCTACCGCCCTCAGTCGCTACCTCCCTCAGTCGCTACCTTCCTCAGTCCCTACCTCCCTCAGTCCCTACCTCCCTCAGTCCCTACCTCCCTCAGTCCTTACCTCCCTCGGTCGCTACCACTATCTGATGCTCGTACTTCTGCTGCTCGCTCTCCCCAACATCACAGTTGAGCCTCGATTCAGTCGCTACCGCCCCCAGTCCCTACCTAAAAAGTCTTTCAGTCGACTCAAGTCAGAAGTCCCTGAGTTTGTATTCATCGTCCTGCTCTCACCCACTCTCCCACTTCCAGGGTACTACTACCCGGTGCTCTGGTCGCCCGCCCGCCGTGCGACGCTGCTGGCCACCCGCGCGACGCTGTCGCACTGGTGGGCGAACGCGTCGCATCCGTCGCAGGCACTGCAGGCGCTGCCGTCGCTGGGCAAGGAAGCGGGCTACGAGCTGAGGAGAATCATTGCCAGCGGCGAGGAGCCTGGGGAAGCGCGGAGGGCAGGGGGAAGGGGAGGGGGAGGGGGTAGGGGAGAGGGAGAGGGTGCGGGAAGGGGACGGGGAACGCGGTTGATACGAGCGGAGGATTCGCAGCATGTTAGAGACGTCCCCGTTACTGTGTATAAGAAGGGGACTCGCATAGGGAAGAAAGATACAGCGGGAGGAGAAGCAGCAAGGAGCCTGATGCAACGGCAAGGGGAGGCAGGGGAAGGGAAAAGGGGAGGGGAAGGGAAAAGGGGAGGGGAAGGGAAAAGGGGAGGGGAAGGGCAGAGGGGAGAGAAACTGGACAGTTTAATGACGAATAGGGGCGGAGGGAGAGGTGGAGGAGAGGGAGAGAGGGGCGGAGAGGGGTTGGGGGAGGGACGGACCACGGAGGTGGGTGGGGGAAGGGCGGATGAGGCTGTACACGTGGAGCAGTGGGATTGGCAGAGAGATTATCTGGAGGACGTAGCGATCCGGGTGTCCCAAGAGAAGCTGTGCCGCGGGATATTCCCGAGGGGCGTTGCAGCGGGGGAGGATGAGAAGAGGTATGATGGGGGGGTTGCCTGGGGGTTGGTAGAGGGATGTGCTATCTGCTATTTCCGAGGGGTGCTGCAGCAGAGGAGGATGAGAAGAAGTATGCTGGGGGATGTCTGGGGGGCAACCTAGGGGGCAGTGTGGGGGATGTCTGGGGGGCAACCTAGGGGGCAGTGTGGGGGATGTCTTGGTAGGGGGCTGTGCAGTGGGGTATTTCCATCCCAAAGGGGGTTGCAGCAGATGGGGGTAAGGAGAAAACATATGCTTGGGGGCTGTCAGGGGCTGTCAGGGGCTGTCAGGGGCTGTTTGGGAGCAGCTCGCTCTCTCCTTCTCCTTATGTGTGCTCCCCTCTTCCCCCCCACACCCACTTCCCCACTCCCTCCCCTCTCCTCCTTCTCATCCCTTCCCCACTCCCCTGTCCCCTTTGCTGGACAAAAGCAGCCACCCCATCTCCCGCCTTTTCACCTCTCCCGCCCCGCCCTCCGCTCGCTGGTCTTCCTCGCCCGCCACGGCCTGGGCAACAGCCTACTCTGCCACGCCTCTCACCTGTTTCTCCCCCTACCGCTCGTCCTCCTCTCCCCCCTCTCCATACAGCAGCCAGCCCATCTCCCGCCTGGCCCATCTCTCCTGCCCTGCCCTCCGCTCGCTCGTCTTCCTCGCCCTGCCACAGCCTGGGCAACAGCCTGCTGTGCCACGCTTCTCACCTCTTTTGAGACATCTCTAAACCGTGCCACGCTTCTGACCTCTTTTGAGACATCTCTAAACCATGCCACGCTTCTGACCTCTTTTGAGACATCTCTAAACCGTGCCACGACTCTCACCTGTTCTTACCCCCCCCCTCGCCATCCCTCTCCCCCCCTCTACCCTCCCACACACCAGCAGCCAGCCTATTACCCGCCTGGCCCACCTCTCCCGCCCCTCACTCCGCTTGCTGGTCTTCCTGGCCCGCCACGGCCTCGGCAACTCCCTTCGTGGCTTCGTGTCCGCCTTCGTGTTCGCACGCCTCTCAGGAAGACACCTGGTCACCCTGCACGCGGGGGAGCACCACAAGGTGTATGACCTCCTGTGCCACGCGTTTTCCCTGTTTCTCCCTCTCTCTTCCCCCTTCCCCGCACACCAGCAGCCAGCCTATTACCCGCCTGGCCCACCTCTCCCGCCCTGCCCTCCGTTCGCTGGTCTTCCTGGCCCGCCACGGCCTCGGCAACTCCCTTCGCGGCTTCGTGTCCGCCTTCGTGTTCGCACGCCTGGCGGGGCGGCGGCTAGTCACCCTGCACGCGGGGGAGCACCACAAGGTGTATGACCTGCTGTGCCATGCGTTTCACTGCGGGTTTGATGGGGTCAGATGGGGCGGGCTTGGGGGAGGTGGAGGGGGGGGAGAAGCGGGGAAAGATGGGGAAGGAGACGGGGGAGGAGACGGGGGAAGAGGGGGAGGGAGAGGAGGGAATGGAACGGAGGGTGGGGGAGGGTACGCGGCGGGGGAGGGGGGCATGCTGCTGCCGATGGAGCTGTATCGGCGGTTCAATGAGCTGCAGCCCAAGTACCTGATGGAGAGCATCAAGAGCATCCCAGGTGGGTTGGTTGGTGCGTGTGTGTGCACATGTGTGGTAGGCTTGCGTGTGTGTGGCTTATTATCCAAGCACTTCAATGAGCCGCAGCCCAAGTACCTGATGGAGAGCATCAAGAGCATCCCAGGTGGGTTGGTTGGTGCGTGTGTGTGCACATGTGTAGTAGGCTTGCGTGTGTGTGGCTTATTATCCAAGCACTTCAATGAGCCGCAGCCCACGTACCTGATGGAGAGCATCAAGAGCATCCCAGGTGGGTTGGTTGGTGCGTGTGTGTGCACATGTGTGGTAGGCTTGCGTGTGTGTGGCTTATTATCCAAGCAGTTCAATGAGCCGCAGCCCAAGTACCTGATGGAGAGCATCAAGAGCATCCCAGGTGGGTTGGCCTGTGTGCGTGTGTGGGTGGGTGTGCGTGTGCACGCGGTGTGCTTGTGTTTGTGAGTCGTCTGTGTGCCCATGTCTCATGAGAGACTAGTAGTTCAATAAGTCGCAGCCCAAGTACAGATGAAAATCCCATTAAGAGCATCCCAGTTGCGTTGTATGGTAGGGGCCTCTGTGTGTCTATTGGTCTAGTCTTCTGTGCGACGCTTGTATGCTTATGACGCTTCTTCTGGTGTGCTGCTAAATGTCTGTGCCTGTGAGTGCGTGAGACTCTATACACTTGTGCCTGTACACATGCTTGACTCATGCTCATGAACGCCCGTTGCCTGTGCTGTGACTCATCCCCTGATTGCAGCAATGAGGAACGCCATTGCCTCCACCCATCCCATCCTCGGGGCTCGCACCGGCTCTCACTTTGACCTCTTCTGGCATCGCAATGACACGCTACGGAGCTGTGTCTATGCTGCCTTCAAGTGCAGGTGGGTTTGTTGAGTAGTTCTGAGTTCAAGCTTTTAGAGTTCTGAGTTCAGGGTAGTCTGTTCGGTCCCTCAGCCCTCTTCACTAAGCATCCCTCTCTCACTCCCCCTCGCTTCCCCATACTTCCCCCTCTCAATCCCCATCAGCCCCTCACATACCCCGTTCCTCTGTCAAAGGTCCTCCTTACTTACTCCCTCACTCACACCCTTCCCCTCTCGCCCACAGCTCTTTATGGTGTGTGCATTCCCGAGCCATGTTCGCATTCATCGGCCAAAGGGACGATCTTTTAGACGTCTCAAATATCTCCTCCTTCCCAAACACTCCCTCACTCACCCCCTTCCCCCCCTCCCCTCCCTCTCTCTCCCACCTCTCTCTGGTGCGTGCATTCCCGAGCCATGTTTTTGTAAGCGCCTCAAAAGCCCCTCATTCGTGTCCCCTTCTCCGCCACTCACTCCATCCCTCTCCCCTCCCCTCTACAGCTCTCTCTGGTGCGTGCATTCCCGAGCCATGTTTGCATTCATCGACCAAAGGGGACCTTCAAAGAAGCTTTTCACCACCATATCTGCCATTCTCCACCGATCTACCCCTCCAGACCAACCCCTCTCCTCCAACCCCTCCTCCTCCACCACTCCTCATTCCCGCATTTCCTCCTCCTCCTCCTCCTCCCTCCTTCCGTCTACTTCTGCTGCTGCTGCCGGTACTGGTAGTGATACGGCAACCACCACAGCAACCACGGAACCCTCTAACCCTCCCTCCTCCGTCCCCGCTCTCCCTCCCTTCCTCCTCGTACCACCCAACAAGGCAATAGCATTCTTCGATATAGCCCTACACGTGCGCACACGCTCCCTAGCAGTAGAGAAAGCGGTGAAGAGCGATACAGAGGGGTACCTCAAAGGGGAGTGCGAGGACTGGGACCGAGCCGCAGTGGTCCGGCCGCCGTACCTGCGTACGTGCCTGTGGGCCTGCATTGGGCACCTGGTTCGGGAGCTGAAACCAACCCTGCTGCAGCAGCGGAGGCAGGCGGAAAAACGGCTTAAGAATGAAGGCTTACAGGCGGGGGGGAAGGGGAATGGAGGGGTGGGGGGGCAAGAAGGGAAGCAGGGAGGGGACGGGGAGGAGGAAGAGGAGGAAGGAGAGGAGGAGGAGGATGAATTAAACATATTTCTGGCGACAGACGATGTGGAGCATAGAATGGAATTTGTGACTCTATTGAAGCCACTTGGAGCGGTATATTTCTCTGCAGGAGACATCTACCACACGTCCAAAGCAAGCCCTGGGAGCCTCGATAGAGGCCTCCCCACTATGGCGGAATTCTTTATGATGTCTAAGTCACGGGCTATAATAGAGGCTGGGCCGTATATAAGCACGTTTGCATATTTTGCTGCGCTGACTGGTAATGGGACGTTGGCTGGTGTTAGTACCCAGAATGGGGGTTGCCAGTTAAGACCCGAACACCTTGCCTGGTAACTGTGTAATGCGGTACATGTATGTATGATATCAGCAATGTTTCCATCTACCGTCAGCCCCCGGATAGAAACGCCCCTGGGGATATAAAAAAACACTGTTTTTTAGGGGGTGCGCGTATAATCGAGGAATTTTATAAGCGCCGGCGTTTATAAAAATGGCAAAAAGAATTTCTATCTGTTTTACACCAAACTGTAGATCTCGTTCTGCCGATTGAAATCGAGTCCAAAACATCGAGGGTCGCGAATCTGATTCTCGCGCAGCTTGGCAGGGAGTGATCCCCTGCCAACTCAAACTGACAGAATGACAGCACATGCTGACTAGACGCGCAAAAAGTGAGATCAGAGTGTGGGAAATCGATTTTGTAGTTCGTTTCCCTGATAATGTGAAATTTGTTTCTGTATTTCGTCAGGTTTTCAAATGAAAAACCAACATGCGCTTATAATAAATCATCTTTTTTTAGGGGGTGGGCTTATAATCGAGGACCGGATATAAGCGCCGTCATCCTTTTATAAGCGCCGGCGCTTATCCGAGGCCTGCGCTTCTATCCGGGGGCCTACGGTACCGTATTCCCCGGGATAAAAGACCCCCCCATAATAATGTACCCGGATCTTTAACACCGTCAGGGGGGTATTTTATTCCGGGCTGTTTTCGTTATACCCCCCATTTGGGGTGAAATCATTATGAGAACCCCCCCCCCCCCTAAACCTCAAAAGTGTTTTTAACATGAAAATATCAGTCCCTGATTCTGTTTCTGTTCCGAGGTGGTCTGACACAATGCAGTGGACGTGGTACACGTCTGTCGCCCCGTGATCTAGCGTGTTGGTAACCACTGAATATGGGCCAATGTGAATGAAGCATTCAGATGCTTCATGGATTGTGCCCGCTTCCTCAGCCCAGGACATTTGCTGCGATCAAAAGTTGATCGTCCCTAGGATCACCTCAAGAAGGTTCGCACACGACTGAGTAGTGGTGGTGGGCCCTTGACCTCAATAGCAGAGTGGATGTAAAATGCTTGAGATGATTGAAACATGCAAGTACAAAGGAATAAATAAGAGTGCAGGAAGGAATACGAATCGACCTAGCTAGCCATGTACTCCAAGGGGCACATTCCCTTATTACAGCGAAATCCAACCGTGCGACTTCACACAGTTACGAAACTATCCGGGCAGATTCCTCGCCACTGCTGCTGCCTGATGCTGTCTGCCCGACGGTCCACATCCTTTTCGTAACCGTACGACGCTTCGCGTCACTTCTGCCTTTTCGCCTTCATCCTTGGTAGTGCGTGCTTCGATTGCTGCGATAAGGAGTGCACAGTGATGCTTCAATAATTGTCAAAAAGAACGAACGAGAATGGATGAACTAGCAAAGAGTTGGGTACAAGTACTAACCCTAATTGGGTTGTACCCCTTATGGGCTACCCCACTATAGCCTACACAATGTAAGCTATATATAAATTTGACACACCCCCATAGGCAAAGTGGGGGAGAACAAGTAGTCACAAGACCAGTCAAGAAAAGCAAAGCAAGCTCAGGGTGGATCACTAAGTCACCACACAGTTCGAGCACAAGCAAGGAGCCACAAGGCCAGTTCACATGCAGAGTTATATATAAGAGAAGAAACAATACAGCGATCATACCCTAGCAAGTGCAAGCATGCATGTATATATATAGATCACAGTACAAGCAAATTCATGCAGTAAGCAAGAGAGGCAAAGTAGGCACAAGGCCTAACACAGTAGAGAAGCGCTGATGATCACCAGGCGGAAGTGCCTTGGTAAATATATCAGCAGTGTTGGCCCTAGTGGCCACGTACGCAAGAGAAGCTGGCCACGCTGCTGCAACTCTCGAGCAAGGAAGTATCGCAAAGCGATGTGCTTCGTTCTGTGCTCCAGTCAGTGCTCCTGACACAAGGCAATCATGGCCTTGTTGTCTACGTACAGAACTGGAGGCGAACGAGGCAGCTCTCCCAAGTCAGTCAGCAGGTAAGTGAGCCAGCGTAGCTCCTGTGCAGCCATGGCCCCTGCATAGATCTCAGCCTCACAAGTGGAGCTGAGAACCGAAGACGAGCGGGTAGACCGCCAGGAAACAGAGTCGGAACCAAGGCTGAAGGTGTAACCTTGTGACGACCGCTGCGTAGCTGAGTCGTCAACCCAAGAAGCGTCTGCGTGACCGGTGAGGACAAATGGACCCCGTCCTCCAAGCACGAGCCCCATGCCCGTCGTACTGCACAAGTAACGCAGTACCCTCTTTGCAGCATCCCAGTGCACCTTTCGGTGCCTACCGGGAGCCACGTAGCGAGCCAAGAGGCTGAGAGGGTACGCGAGGTCAGGTCGTGTGCACGTCATCAGGTACATGAGGCAACCCACAAGCTCTGGGTACGGACCACTCGGCTCTACGGACTCGTCCGAAGGTGGAGCTGAGAGCGAATGGCTGGTAGACAGAGGAGTGGGCTGTGGCGAGGAGAACTGGAAGCCGAAGCGCTGAAGAACCTGGTGCACCATGTGTGACTGAGTAAGTGTGATGGTGCGCCGTGCTCTGTCCCGGGTGATCTGCAAGCCAAGATAGCTGCGCAGTTCACCCATGTCAGTGCAGGTGTGTCTCTTCTGCAGCTCGGACTTCACAAGGGTTAGTGCCTCTATGTCAGCAGTGGCAAAGACGAGGTCGTCTACGTACACAAGGACGTAGAACGACGGCAGTGAGGTGTCTGTGCGGAGAAACAGCGACGGGTCAGCAGTAGAAGGAGCGAACCCAAGAGCCGCAAGTGTAGTCCTCAGCGTGTCGTGCCACTCGCGAGCGCCTGGCGGAGACCGTAGACTGGCCGACGGAGGCTCCACTGGGTACCTGCAGGAAACGACCTAGTGAAGCTAGGTGGGCGGTGCAGCCAGATGTCCTCGTGCAGACTACCCTTCAGGAAAGTTGTGCTGAAGTCCAGAGAGTGCAACTCGTAGTCACGCTAAGCAGCGACGTGCAGCAACACCCAAAGAGTAGTCATCTTTGGGGTGGGGGAGAAGGTTTGGAAGTAATCAACTCCCTGTTGCTGACTGAAACCTCGAGCAACGTAACGCGCCTTGAAGGCAGGCGGAGAACCCGGCGGCCGCTTCACCCTGAAGATCCATATGCCATCGACTATGTTGACCCCTGGTGGGGGAACCTCGATGACGTAGGTGCCTGTGGACTTCCAGGATGCCATCTCGGCATCCATGGCTGCCTGCCACTAAGAGGAGTAAGGACCCGTAATCGCCTCTGCGTAAGAGTGCGGGGTCGGGATGTCTGGTGCATCTGGGTCTCCCTCAGGGGCAAGCAGCATGGAAGCGAAACGAGGTACAGCAACTGCAAGACACTCAAACTCCTCCTGCCTGTCCTCAAGGACGTCTGTGCCAAGAGCACACTCACCCTCGACGGACGGAGGACTGGCAGACGCAGACTCAGCAACTAGAGTAGTGACGTAGTCTAGACGGCAGGCAGCAGCAAAGTCAAGCAGCTCAGCAACGAGAGCATGCGCAGCAGCAGACTCAAAAATAGGGTCTGTGACAGAA